AGAGAGAGAGAGAGAGAGAATCTGCAAAAATGAGCCAATGTTTCCGTGCAGACAATGTGCAAGACCATAAACTTCATTCACTACTTTGCCAGTAATGCTTCTCTTCTAACCCACTTTGAACATCGTTAAAAACCATGAAAATGTGACTTATTTCACATATTAATGAATCTCTTTTGGCTTAGAGAGCAAGACCAAAAGATGGTAGAGGAAAATGAGACATATTGCTAGCAAGACTTGTTGAGCAAATGAAATTGTTTTTTGGCCCCCTCCTTTCAAGGTGATGGTGGGAGAATAAAGGAGAGCCATGCTCATACAACCATCATCTCTTTTAAACATAGGCCTTCCAACCACATGCTTGTATAATCCCTCACTCCATTTCTGCAATATTTTTCATAGACATGAGGCAGAGAAAGAGGATAAGAGACGTCCAGTAAAACCCCATTATAATACGGGAATACGGAGAAAGAGGATAAGAGACGTCTAGCAAAACCCCATTATAATACGGAAATGTATATGATTAGATATATTTATTTATTTATTTATACAAGCAGATCACAGTTATTATTGACCATTAGATGTGAAATCGAGTAGTATTGTTGTATCATTGATTACGTACAAATTACAAAATAGAATTTCTCAAAAGTTATAACGCATTTCCGTATTTTGGATTTCACATCCAATGACAAACAATTACTGTTATCAAAAGTAAATAGTGATATGGTATACTTTCCATTACAGTAAAAACGTGGAAACATATTAAAATACTCATAAGTTGTACCTTTTCAAGATTTTTTCCAGTACTTCAGCTGCTCATGTGTCTATTGATGAATATTTTAAAATTAAATAGAAATATGAATAAAATGTTGTATTGTTAATATCCTACCGGTGTCTGGAGTGAGTGAGGAATGACTTTATATAAGGTTTAATCTAACCCATTTATTTTTTTAAACTATATAGACTTAACACAATATAAGTTTTATTGTTTATTTATGAATTCTCTTTACCTAAAAAATTGGGGAGTAAGTTCGTTTTTATAAGGTGCATCCAATAAAAATATTTGAACAAGACCAAACTACTTTTCAATTGTTTCAGAGGTATTTTGATCAATATTTTATTCAAAATATTTTTATTTTTGTTTTCGATGGATGTACCATTTTCAGATATATGGACACACCAATTTTCATATGGATAAAAATTTGTTCCAAAAATAATAAATAAAATCAATTTGTGGTCCTTGGATACGCCATGTTCAATCTGAGTCAAGCATCGATATCATGTTGACACCGTACCATTTTTTCACAAATGCCCATTATCGATATGGAGGAGACAACGCACCTGAATTTGATCTCCAACGGTGAAAACCACAGATTCGTGCGCCGGCCTGAAAGAAATCCAACCTTTCCTTGAATAAACGTGAAATTCCGGGGACCCATCGCATAAATGAATGCTCAATGCATGGGAAAGGTCTGATCTTCTAATGAGTATCCGAACAAGGTCGGATTTAAGGCATGCCTCAGTCTTGCCGGAAAAAGCATTCCGGCCATGTTTGTAAAGTCCCAATAATGAATCTCCTTGCTCTATACTTGCTTTTTTACTGGTGTTTTCTAGTAGAATTTGAAGGATAAATTCAGCGATTTTCTCAATTTGGGCAGACAAAGCTTCAATATTTTGGCTGCATGGCGAAAGATTGTCCATTAGAAGAACTTTTATCCAATAACTTTTAAAATATCTATGTATTTAATTATATTTAAATATAGTTCATATATTAGGATCTAAAAAATATTATTGCCTGAATAGTGTTTTGGTTCAAGATTTAGACCCGGACATCACCCATCTGGTTTAATTTTTGAACCCATACCCAGACCCAGATCGGGTCTACCCCTTAAGTCCCGGATTGGGTCCGGGTCCATTGCCACCCTTAGAGAGAAATAGATAACAAAATCAAATGCACCTTTTGCATGCTAGAAAAAAACAAAATCGCAAGATTGCACAAAGACAATCCAATGATGGTCAGATCTAAGTATTTTGAGAAATTAATATCCAAACTCCCTTTTGGAATTAAGGATAAGATCTTAAAATTTGAGATGGAAAAATCCTCTTAATAAGCCCTTTGCCAAAAAGAGTAAATGGACAATGTGCTCTTACCGGAGCATGTTATAATTTTGAAGGTAAGACAAGATGGGAAGAGGAGGGGCGTAACCAATACAGACCCGGTACAACTTCTTTTAGGAGTGAGTTGGTTAAAGGTAAAAAAAAGTAAAAGGTAACCTCAAAAAGATATGGTTTGAAGTATTGATAAAACATATAGGAATTTAGGATATGACTTTTAATAAAGTAAAATAGTATATCAAGATTCGTGTAGCTGACCTCAAATAGTAAAAAAAAAGCTACAATGACCATAATAATAATGATGGAAGAGAGAAGAAAAGATTAGTGGAAGGTATTCGTACCTGAAGCATTGGAGAGAATATGAATCCATGAATCCCAATTGTAACCCAACATATGGTTATAAGCCGGGGACAACCAAGGCAAATTTAACAAAGCAAAGAAATTGATGTGGGGCGGGGATCCTTTTGCCTTTTTCTTTTGCTTTTGTATGTTTCGTTTCTTCAAGGGATTTTGAATAGAATTTACCACTTATAGAAAATATAGTGGATCGCTATGCAAACTACAAAAGAAGGGAAAATATTCCACTGGGGAAATTTATCAAATACCTTTCAAGGATGAATTATTTAATGATTTTATTTATTTACGACTATTCTAATTCATGATCATGTGGATTTGAAATTGAACCATATAATATGGTAGAATTTTAAAAAGCTAACAAATATTTGGCAGCTATAATGAATAGTAATATAGATAAAATTTCAGCCGTTAGATTTTCATCATGTGGTTCAAAATACATATCATTATTTGAATTTTACTATTTTTTTCTAGAAAATCGTAATGAAATTTTGGTCATATATACTAAAAAATAGGATATACAAGAAAAAATTATAAAACAAATATTTTTTAAAATATAAAATGACCAAAATATCACTATAAAATGACAAGGGTAATTTGGTCATTTTAAATTCTTGAAAATACTGTTTTTATATTCTTATATGATGCGAAATAGTATCACCTATACACACGCAAAATTTTATCTCAATCTGATTTTTATAAAAAATAAAATATAATTCAGAGAGTAATATGTATTTTGAACTACCCGATGAAGATGCCACTGTTTCGCGATCTAGATTGCCGAATTTTCTTCTCTTGTGTTACTTCATGATGTGGCACAATTGTTCTATTCTAGTGTCCTAAATTATCAGTTGTATTTTCTTTTTTTATTATTAATAAAAAATAGGTAGGGGGCCTTCTACCCCACTGATTTATCCAAAAAAAAAAACCATCTGATGAATATCTGATCGCTAAGATTCTACTTATATTACTATTCATTATAGCTGCCAAGTGTTTGTTAGTTTTACTCTTTAGATAAATTACCCTTTTGAGAGGATTGAGAAAGCTACAGCAAGCCTGAGCCATAACAGATGATGCAAACATTAAGAGATACAATTCTTTTGTGTTTGAAAATCATTAACCGGGTTTGGAACTAATGGAGGACCGATCTGAGTCCCGCTATGATTTGGGGACTCATACCAATTCCCTAAAAATAGTGTTTCAATGAGAAATATTGTTATAAAAATTACTTCTAATTTGATTTGAGAATTGGTTAAAATTTTTAAATAAACAAGACTGAAATTTTACAATAATAATAATTGTTATTGTTGTTGTTAATTATTATTATTATTATTATTTGAAATGTTTAAATACATGTAGCTTATCTCTTCTTTTTTTGACTAATCAAGCTTGGTTCAATCAATGGGAAACACCTCACACAATATCAATTATTTTGATTGTACCAGAGAATAAAAAGATCATTGTATTTCCAATTATCTTTGTCCATTGAAATGATCAATGGGGATGAAGGGAGAGAGGGAGCCACGAGGGATCTTCTTTGTGGGCCCCAATCTCCTTCTATTTAGTACAAATTATCAAAATGTAGGTAACTTTTCAACAAAATTTAACAGTTTACCTTTCTTCAACTAATCCAACTCAATGCCATGTGTATTTTGATGATTATTTTGAAATTAAATCAAAAGTTATGGATGCAATGTTGAATAGTTGATCTATTATGTGTATTTTGATAAATTTTCCTTCCAAATGGTATTGACCATGTGATCTATGTCTTTATTGTGCTTTCAATTTTAACATTGATAATTATGCTTGCCAAAGACTATATGATCGGCTATGTTTGATGCAAAATAAACACATCCCTGGTTGTTGGATGTGAAATCAGGGGTGTACCATTGACCATAATTAAAGTCCACAAAACTTTTTATCAAAATTTCTTTTGATAAATGACGCATTCAATAATCTACGTCATGTCCAATAGCTTCAGGTACTTGTGAGCTTTGTATAATAAAGCTAACGGTCTTGTTTTATACAATCCTACGCATGGTTAGTCATTTTTCAATAGAGAGTATAAAAATAAAAGTATATCCATTTTGTACAAGGTCACAATCACTCTTAGATGCAAGATGTGAAATCATATAACTAGAAGTGTGCTACTTAACATCAAATTTTGTGATGTGCTCTTTAGCCGCCCAATTTCGCCACTGATAATTTAAAGTGATCGTGAACTTCTTGTATCATATGTAAATGATCTTGGTATATGCATGTCTGCACTCTCCAACGGCCACCGATAAGAATGATAGTCCGGATCCACATTAGCAAACAATGCAAAGGTACTATGGTCCTCATGACTATAGAAAATTAAACGATGTTATCTAATGTCATATGTCCAATAAATGGATCAAAAGTTACGAGCACATGAAATGACCCAACTGATAGACCGCACTCTTTTTGTGATTCACATGACCACATAAAAGTACGGTAAAAAAATGTGTCATCCAATATCACCTTAGTCCAATGAATGGATCAACGGTGATTGAGATGGATAGTACCGTATTAGCAATTGAAATGACCCTATAGGCAGGTCCAGTTATTTCTCCCAAACCATCCACCATTCGTTTTATGGTGATGGCCATACATTGAACGGTGATGAAACCCATGACCATAGGTTCTCTATGGATCATAGAGTACAATTAATTGCAAGAAAATCAAGGAAAACGATAAATGCTATATTTCCCGACCATACCCTTGACCCCAAGCTTTCCAAAACCAACTAACAGGGTTAGTTAGGTAATTTGTATCGCACTCACCTGAAACTTCGAAATCCTTCAGGCCACACTCGCTTCAATGCGAACTCCATGCTCGTCCTCTCCCTCCTCGACCAAAAGAACTCGCCGGAGCATTCCTCATTTTCACCGGAATATTCCTCTATCTCGCCGGAATGCTCTTCGAAGCCGTAACAAACACCATTTGATCTCGATACCATCATTTTCTTTTTGTGCGATAACCCGAAAACTCCTTCGCACTCTGCCTTCACAGCGCTTATCAACTCTTTGGACAACCCATGATTCAAGAGCTGAAAACACCCAATGGTGGTTACTGATCCTATGAGCTTTGATAGAGAGTCTTTTTCGCATAAGGAAAGTTGCCGTAAATCTATTTCTGGAGGGGTTTTGCCTGAATTTTCTTTGGGGAAGAAGCGGTCTGGTAAGACGAGTTCGGGTAAGTGAAGTGAGCGCTCGAGATAGTGGGTGAGCTTCTCTTCATTGACAAATGAGTTTTTCCGGCCAATGGCCACCGGAGAAGGAGGTGGAGCTCTATTTTCCGGTGGGTCTACCGGCGAGGTCGCCATGTGGGCTTGAAACAGAGATCGAGAGAGAAATGGGGATATAAAGGAAGATAAAGAGAGAGAATTTGATCTTTTGATTACTTTAGCGTAACAATGGAAAAGACGGAAAAATTATAGTATATTATGGAAAAAAAAAGGTAGTAAAAATGACGAGAAATGACCTTAACTTATTTTAAAAAAGGCTGGATACCCCAACTTTTTTACTTCCAATGTGAATGCTGCGTACAAGCCTGAGAAAAATTGTTTACTGATTTTTACTAGAAATGAATTTTATGGATGTAGAAGTAAAATGAATACGGACTTTAGTGGAGTAGTTCTACATTTTCAATTACAAACGAATAACAAACAGGGAAAGAGATAGGGGTGGCAATGGACCCGGACCCTACCTGGGACCCGAGGGGTAGACCCGACTTGGGTCCGAGTCTAAATCATGGATCCAAACACTATTCGGGTCCAGGTCTGGGTCACCCGTAATATTTTCGGGTCCTAATATATGGAATATAATTAATTATATAGATATTATAAATTTTGGGTTGAGTCTGGCCACATCTATTCACCCAAAAAATGTTGAATAACAACATATCGAATTGCCAATTTTGAAGTTTGAATTTTATTGAACTAGTTCTTTTTTTCTATCTTTCTAAACTACTTTTCCTTTATTTTTAAAACTTTTATGTAATAATAAATTTCAGTGTTTGAAAAAATGATGATCATAACCGAATTGGTACTCAGTCGGGGCGAGTTGAAGCCCTAGAATCAGCCCGTTTCCCATGTTCATTACCCTTTCACATTTTAATAATACAATTCGATCAGCCGATACTCTCTGTGAACTGGAATGGATACCCCGAGGATTCCAAACACCAATCCGGATTTTCAAACACTGGAATTTTCAAAATATGTTCTTCCTTTCTAGCATACATATAATTTGCATTAAGCATAAACCTTAATAAAATAGAGGATTATTTGGTACTTTATAATAATAGGATCTGCCCTTTTTAGCGTTGTTGAGATGGATAAGGGTAAAATCGTAAATTGGACGAGAAAGTAACTATGCAATGATAAATGTAGGGAACAAGGCCGACATTCTTGATCATATAACGAAATTTAAATCGCTTGCTTTCTTTTATGGCCCAAAACTTGTCCTTGATGGTGAGAATAAATAGTATTATTTGGGGGGTGAATTTAGGGAAAGTAAGAAAGAAAGTGGGGATTATAATTGTGTAAAGTGTAAAGCAGTAAATTATTGGTGGGTTAGGCGTGTGTTGTTTTGGAGTTTGGGATGAATGCTTACGATAGTGTGATCTAGGTTGCCCATTGCACATGCAAACTGCCATCATAAAACGTATTATAAGAGAGAGAAACACACCACGTTCAAGACACTCAGCCTCTCTCTCTCTCTCCTCCCCCTCTCCTTTGGCAACGGGTCGGGTCAGGTTCGGGTCCGATTGGACTTAAGACTCGGACCCCAATCCGACTAGATCTGAAGTCATTGAACCTAGATTTGGACCTGAAAACATGCGGGGATCCAAACCTGGCACCGATCGGACTCAATTTAAATATATTTCATAAAGTTAATAAATATATACATGTATTATTTGAAGGGTGCAGTTTGTATAGAGCCGAGGCTCTAAACAATCAAAGTAAAATGCGCATTCAAATAGTGTCGAGAAATGTGGTCTCAATATTGAAAATCTTTGTGATAGCTTTAAAATGTATTTTCATGTTTTATTATAAAACTTAAAGCTTCAAAAATAGTGTAGATCGAGCTGATCTAGAAAACTTGAAAATCTTGAAAATTAAAAGTAAAAAAATGCGTTACAAGATGCACTATTTCTAATACTTGAAATCTGTTTGTTTTTCATGTCTATGCATCATGATGTCGATATGATCAATTCGAGGATACTTAGGCATCAAAACAACCTCTTCTAGTAAAATTTTTAAGGTGGGCTTGAATTTGATTGTTTAGAGCCTCGGCTTTATATGATCTTTTTCCTATATTAAATATTATTAAAAGGTACGGTTTGTATAGAGCTGAGGCTCTAAGCAAACAAAGTAAAGCGCACCTTCAAATAATGTCGAGAAATGTGGTTTCAATATTGTAAATCTTTGTGATAGCCTTAGAATATATTTTCATTTTTAACTATAAAATTTAAATCTTCAAAAGTAGAGTAGATTGAACATATCTATGAAAACTTGAAAATCCTGAAAATTGACGGTCCAAAAATGTGCTACAAGATGCATTATTTCTAAAACTTAAAATCCATTATTTTTCTCATATTCATGCATCTTGAGGTCGAGATGATCAATTTGGTGATATTTGAGCATCAAAACAACCTCTTTTAGTGAAATTTTTGATATGGGCTCTAATTTGATTGTTTAGAGAATCGGCTCTATATAAACTTTTTCCTTATTCAAATATCAACATATTCGGGTTGAGTCTGGATCGGATGTACTTGAACTTGGACCGGACGCAAATAGTTTCGGGTCCAAGATTTGAACCCCAACCTGACCCGTCAGATCTAATTTTTAAAAACATACCCAAACCCGGATCGGGTCTACCCATCAGGTCCTGGGTCAAATCCGGGTCAATTGCCACTCCTACCTTCCAAGCATAAGAGTCTCTCTCCCAGTGCGCGCACGAGAGGGGGGAGAGATAGGCTCTCTTCTCTCGACCCATTTTGAGGGCCATAGCACCACTTTCACTCCCCCATTCTTTGCTATTGTTGTCAAAAGATCATGGGATAGGGTAAGAATTGAACTTAGAACTAAGGACTTCAAAATTTTGAGATGAAAACCTCCTGCATCTAATATTTAACCGGAAAAATAGAAGAAAAAAATCATTCTTATTTTATATGTGCCTAAAAAAATAATCCCAAGGTATTTGGAGGTCATAAAATTTTTTGTGTAGTCCGATCCAAGTGTCTATAAACTCAAATCCACTTTTTTCTTATTAAAGATACTTATCTGGTGATTTTAAAGTGGATTCCAAATTTTACGTGTTAAAATAAATAAATAAAAAAAAATCCTTATTTTATATGTGCCTCGAAACATAACATTGTAAGAATATTTGGAACTTGTAATATTTTTGGATAGTTAGATCCAATTGTTTAACTCAAAATCCACTTTTTCTCATTAAAGAAACTAATATGGTGTTTTTAATTTGGATCCCAAAGTTTTAGATTATGCAAATAAACCAAGTGGGTATTTTACCCGAGGGTCTAAGATCAAGTGAGATTATGCTATGTAGGCTCTTGTTATTTGTTATTTTGTATTGCATTCCCCTATTTGGGGAAAAACTAAAGATATTCCTTCATACAAGATTTCATGGTATCTGGGAACATAAAGGCCGTGTTTGGTAAGTAGAAGTTTGGGATTTTTTGGGACTTTGATGTTCTAGGTCACTAGAGAACTTTTGATATCTTAAGTTTTGGTCCTTGTTTGATAACCTAAATCTACTTCTGAAAATGGCCTCCACCAAACAGCCTTGGTGTCGTGTTTCGACTCTCCACCGAGACGTGTTTCGACTCTGCAAAACAACCTTTGTCTCTGTTCTAACTTGCGAGTTGTTGAATCTGTTTCGGATCCATACCGAGTTTTGTTGACTTTCCAAGTTCTGTTTTCTTAGCTGTCTCGATTGCTTTTCTATCTCTGGTGAAGATTTAAATTTTTTGTCTATTTGCTCAAGTCTGTTCTTGAGGCTTGCAACTTTTGTGCGGCTTGATTAACCAATATGAGAATGACAACAACTGTTTCTCTTGGTCCCGCTATGCACCTGAAGACCACTATTCATTTTTGTAACTTAGTATTGTTCAAATTCCAACTGCTTTGTGTCTAAGTATCTTGAGTTTAAGGGAGACGATTAACGGATGGATAGGTATACATCATTATTGATACAGATCAGTATGGATATGTATCTGTATGGGTATATATCTCTTGATAAGATTAGGTGTCTAGGAATCTCTTGATTATGATAGATTAGTTAGTAATTATGATAAGATTAGTTAGTAATTATCAATAACTGTTGGTATCTATGGGGCTTTGTATATTCTTTACCAATCAATATACAGAGAGCGCTATGCAATATTATGAATTTTATTAGGATAGAGCTCTATGAAATATTTTGAATTCTATTAGGATAGAAGCTGCATGTTCTCATTTTATAAAAACCCGGATCTTTTGTAAACCAATTTCTTATAATTCTTCTTATTATCAGACATATAAGTGCCACAGCTAAATGAAACTTCCAGCTCCTAAAGTTGGAACTTCTAGTCATCAAACGTCCCCAAAGGATTTTCACAATCGATTTTTTCTCAGGGAAAAATTTTATATAGACCAAATGCTCTAAACGATCAGAGCCTACCTTAAAAATTTCATTAGAAGAAGTTGTTTTGATGCCCAAATATCTTCAAATTGATTATCTCGACATCAATGTGCATGGACTTGAGAAAAAAATGGATTGCAAGATTTGAAAATGGTATATTTTATAACGCATTTTTGGACCGTCAATTTTCAAAATATCATAGATATGTCGATCTACACAATTTTTGAAGCTTTGAACTTCATAAATAGATATGAAAATATATTTTAAAGCTTTGAACTTCATAAATAGATATAAAAATATATTTTAAAGTTATTATAAAGATTTCTAATATTGAAACTACATTTCTTGAAGCTATTTGGAGGTAGGCTCTAATTTGATTGTTTAGAGCCAAGGCTCTATACAAAGCGCACCCTTTTTCTTATGATACACTTCTCGGCCGCCTTAGAGACTACGGTTTTTTTTTTTTTTTGTGAATATTAGAGGATATGGTTAATCTCCGTTGTCCATCATTGAGATGGGTGGCAAATGGTTGGGTATCATATATGATACAAATTTGGTATAAGCGACTCATACCCAATTTGTGGCGCATTCTTTTAGACAAAAAAAAAAAAATGAATTTCTTTTTCAGTTGGCAGAGAGAGGGAGAGAGATTTTGGTGAAGAAAAAGAACCCCGCATGTTTT